GTGGGTTATTGATGTAGACAAATGCTCATGTACCCTTTACAACTCTTTTCATGTATGTTATTACCAAAGAAGAAAAAAAGCCAGTCAGTCACTCAATAGTGTCTGACAGTGAAATCTAGCAAGTAAACAGGTTTCCTTGCATAATTTGAATATGAGGACACGGCTAATGTTTAAATTTCACAGATAGGACATACATGACATATTCATAATTCCTGCAAAGTTCTACAGAATTTGAGGTTGGCTGCAAAAGGGACATAGTACCTTTAAGACAGTGAACTGGACTCGTGTATTTTCACTGATGACGTTCATTGGTTTCTTGCAGAAGTCTATACTTGTAAAATTTGGGTAAAAGTCTATAATGAGAGAGGAGGGATTCCGAGACACACACAATGAGTTGGGCATTGGCATTTATATTCCCTTGGCCTTTGAAAGATTTAAATAATTTGACAAGAATCCTTTTCCCCATCATAATGTAATTCCAAATTGTAAACGTTTAGAAAGTACACTTAGTTATGGTAAAAATGTCATTTTGTCATGAAATATACACCAGATTATATGTATTCCAGCACCTAGTCGCATACTGGGATATGTCGTTATTCTAGCTTCTTGCTGCCTGGATAAGAGGAGGTGATTGCCCAATATATGGATAGGTTCAAAATGGGCAGGGGAGCTGCACCCCCCTCCCCCACTCCAACTCATCATTTGATTTGATTCCGACCTCCAAGGATCTATTTTTTTAGAGAATGATGCAAGTCTATCAATTGAATCCATGTCTCTAACTATCTTACGCTTAATAGCAGGTTAATGAATTTATTGTACAAAATAAATTATTGGGGTCAAATTTTCGAATCGGGGGGGGGGGGGGGGTTGGGTGGGAAGACATTGATAAACTTTCCCATTAGATTTCAAATGCATTGAGAAGATTCCTTGGGGAAAAAATACTGGACCAATTTTTTTTTATTGCAATGTACTTTAAGAATATAGCTTTGTACAAACTGCTCATATTTTGTTCTAGGAGTGTGTGTGGGGGTGGGTCACAGAAAGGGGGTAGGGTGCACATTATGAACCCCTCCATCCATTGTCTTCATGATTCAGACTGAAAATCATGACTATCTTCTGGATCCAGAACTCATTTTATGTATCACTTGATCCATTATTTATGAACACACATCATGTCCTACACAACAAACTGCCCCCATCCCAAAATTACTCTTGATTTTAAAGGGGGTGGGGGGGGGGGGCTTCAATGGGGGTAGGGTGAAATTTCTGAACCACACCATGCGCTATGAACATGTTTACAATGGCAAATTATGTCTGTCACTTGCAACAGGTCATATTGTATGTATTATTTGACCTATATCCTATTTGACTTTGATATATTGGTTGCTAGGCATATTATCACCATAGCAACAGAAATTAAGCGATATATTTCATTAAAATATGATGAAATGCATTATCTGACATCATACTTCCTATCAAAGTATTCATCTGCTTGGTGATAGCGTCTTTTTGTGATATATTCTATTTTTCACGTCACTATGTTACCGTTGCTAAGGAAAAGACAGCCCCTAGCAACCAAATTTGCCATTTTGTCTCATAACAAAGTGTCATATAACTTTTTAGTCAAAAAAGCAATAGACTTGAAATTCGCACATGATATCAACCATGCTTCTGGACAATTTTAAAGCAAGTTTTAAGTTAGTCAGCATCATAATCGATTAAATATGGACAAATTTATGTACTTTGGCGCAATTCATATTTTTGAAAAAAATTGTAAAAAATGACATTTTTTGCTCAAAATTATTATGCAAATCATCCCCAAACCTATTGATTGAGGTATCATCTTGTGGGAAATTTAATTGTCTTTCATGTGACGCCTTACTCATCGTCCCTATTTTCATGAAGTGACGATAATGAGGAAAATCCGCACGCAAATTGTACGCAATTTTCATTCACTACCGTCACTTCGTGAAAATAGGGACGACACAGTATAAGGAGGTACTGTTAAAAAGTAATCTCCATATTTGTAGAACAGTAGTTATTCATGGCGGCCATGTTTTTCCAGTAGCATATTGCAAAGGTAGTCCACCTAGAAATTGTGCAGGGAGGTCCCCTGAACACGTTAATACCCAACAACGTTTTACAACATTCCATGTCTCACAAACCTGCTGTGCCCCCTGGGTATGAACATATAAACAAATTTCTGATGTATGTACCAGGCCTCGAATTACGTCAAATTTGGGTCAAGGCCACTTTTTTGAGAGGGCACAAATCCACTGAAAGGGGCACAAATCTATCGTATACTAAATGGCACTAAGGCAAAAGTGGAAAGTGAGCGTAAAATCACCTCACGCCGTTTTAATGGAGGGGGGGGGGGGTATTTGCACCCCCCCCCAACCAAAAAATGCTCACTACCCCCCCCCCCCCTCCCCCTAACTGAGCGAATTATTGGCCGCCGCGATTTTCAAATTTTCGGGAGCAAAAAAAAAATACTGCTCACTACCCCCTCCCCCCCCCCTTATTAACAGGCAGGCTGTTTCACCCACCGCTAGATATTTTCTCTCACTGGGCCCCCTCTTTGGTCCCCTCCCCTGCCGCCGACTGAATCCGCCCGTATCCGCCCGTGGGGTGGGTGGGAGTGGGGAGTTCCCCCTTTTGACGTTTCATTGAATTATTAGAGAAAGAAGACTATTAGTTGTACCGTTCTTGACTCTTTATCCTTTTCTGAATTCCACGGGAAGCGGAAGGTTAGACGTTTTTAATAAATTATTAGAGAAAGAAGACGATTCGATGTACCGTTCTTGACTTCATCCTTTCCTGAATTCCACGGGAAGTGCGGAGGCTTGTATGTTTTTAATAAATTATTAGAGACAGAAGACGATTCGTTGTACCGTTCTCGACTATTAATCCTTTTCTGAAATCAATCACCCCTCCCGCACAAAGCGCGGAAGCTATGACGTTTTAATTAAAACGTATAGGAAAGAAGACGATTTGATGTACCATTATCTCAACTCTTAATTGTTTTCTGATTTAATTCCCAACCCTCCTCCCTCCTCCCGAGAAAAATTCAAGTTTTTCACTGATTAAAAACTCTGAAAACGCACCAAAAAAGGTGACAACGCGAAGTGAAGATGTTGAACCAAGGATGGGTAAACAAAACTTCCCGATATTGATTGGTCCAATTAAAAAGGATGGAGATGGATTGAAAAACTAAGCCCGAGTCATTACGGTTTTTGTGCCAAACGTATCAATCATTTCGATGAAGATATGCTTTCATATCTCCGTATCGGCAATGAAGTCCCGCCAATAGTTATTAATTTAGGAGTTCCATAGTGGCAATGAAGTCTCGCCGATAATTATTGTTTTTAGATCTCTGTAGGGGCAACGAAGTCTTGCCGATTATTATTGTTTTAGATCTCCGTATAGGGGCAACAAAGTCTTGCCGATAATTATTGTTTTTAGATCTCCGTAGGGGCAACAAAGTCTTGCCGAAACTTATTGTTTTTAGATATCTGTAAGGGCTACAAAGTCTTGCCGATAATTATTGTTTTTAAAGCTCCGTACGGGCAACAAAACCCTGCCGATAATTATTTTTTTAGATCTCCGTAGGGGCAACAAGACCTTGCCGATCATTAATGTTTTTAGAGCTCCGTACGGGCAACAAAAACCTTGCCGATTATTATTGTTTTTAGAGCTCCGTAGGGGCAATAAAACCTTGTCGATAATTATTGTTTTTAGATCTCCGTATAGGGGCAACAAAACCTTGCCGGTAATTATTATTTTCAGATCTCCGTAGGGGCAACAAAACCTTGCCGGTAATTATTGTTTTTAGATCTCCGTAGAGGCAACAAAGTCTTGCCGATAATTATCATTTTTATAGCTCCATAGGGGCAACAAAGTCTTGCCAATAATTATTGTTTTTAGATCTCTGTACCTGCAACAAAGTCTTGTCGATAATTATTGTTTTTAGATCTCAGTTGGGGCAACGAAGTCTTTTTGAACATTACAAGTCGGGGTTGACTTATGATGACTTTAATGTCGGCAAAACTTTTGTGGATTTAAATATTGTGGCCGTAAGCGGTTTGATTTTGAAAAGGGCATTCCGGCCAGTGAGAGGGGCATGGCGGCAAATTGCCGATTGCCAGTGGGTAATTCGAGCCCTGATTTACTGTTCGTCAACTTCAAATTTTCATTTTTTTAGTTCTGCTGTTGAGGGTGTTATCTGGACTAAGATTCAATAACAATAACAATTAAACCTTATGAATTACAACTTACAAAGCAATTCCATGTGATATGGAAAGAACTAACAGAAATGTAGTCTTCCTTTTGTTTTGTACACAAAATCATAAATTTTCCATAAAGTCACAAAAGATTAAAGACTCTGTAATGGTACAATTTTCATAAACTTTGTGTCAAAAGATGTGCACGACTTGAAAAAAACAAAATAAGTCAAAAAGTGGCTGGGCTTGAAATGACGGAAAATTTAAATTAAAATCTTTGTACAGCTTCATGTGAAACTAATTCAATCATCTCCCTTACACAGCACAAAGTGAGTGGGTCTGTAACCATGTATTAATGACCACAGCCAATGAGACTGACAGCCCACAAGACGAACAATATCTGTCTAGCGAACCATCTGCCTCGGAATAGAATTATCTAGATAGACGGCGCTATAGAAATGCCTATTATTATTATTATTATCATCTGAAAAGTTGTTAAAAGGTCCATGAGACCAACTACCCATGGACTGACAACCCACAAGACTGACATGTTGGTCTCGTGGGTGTTCTGACAACTATTTTTAGGGTTCAACAGACCGGCGGTATCAGTCTCATGGGCTGTTCGTCTACTGGGATGTCCTGCTATAAAATAACCCTATTCTTACCAAACGAGGAAGTGTCAAATCAGTGTTTGTTGGCTGCCTGCAAGAGCAATAAATTATCAATGGCAGTAAAGGCCATCTTGCGGGCAGCCTACATATGATTCCTTCTTTTTCTCACCTGTCCGCTTCAGGACTAGACTGCCAACAAGTAGTTTGCCAGAGAGGGACCCTAAGCCACTGCTTTCTAATTCCTCTGCTAGAACAGCCCTGATGTCTGTGTCTGGGGGCTGTTTGTCTCTCCATCTCGTGAAGACTATCATCAATGCATCACTGGTATTTTGGCTACGTTCCTTGATTTGACCAAGCTCTGCGATGGAGATGTCCAGGTTAATGCCCACATCTTTGTAGTAGTTAGGTTCAATCAGTTTAGACAGCTTTAAGAATTCCTTCTCACTGACAATCCTGTAATTAAAAACAAGATTTTATCAAGCATCTCTTAAGTACTCTTAAAGCCCTCTGAAGTTTCGGGAGCCCCAAATTCGCCACTATTTGAAGGCAAAATTTCACTTACCAGTAAATTGTATCATAATGTGAAAGAGGATGTCATTCAAGACACACATTTGCAAAAAAATTCCCCCAAAATAATGTGTTTGAAGACAAATATTGATTAAAAAAATACACAGAAAACCTAAATGTTGTATTCTTCCATCAATATTCGACATTAACACATTTGTTTTTAAAATCCTGCAGAAATGACATCCCTTTTCACATTATGATACAATTTAAATGAAATCTGCCATCAAATTCTTGGGGCTCCCAACACTTTGGAAGGCCTTTAAAGGGATTGGGTAACTTTGTCTCAGATTCTGAAACAAAATCCCTGAATTAGCTCATGCTGCAATGATAATTATAAACCTTAAGGTCAGTCAGGAACCACATGACTTTTACAAGCTGATCGCCACAAGCCGATCGCCTGTCTGATTATCAAGATATTTATGATTGAAAATCGAAATCAAATTTTGCGTTTGCCAAACGGTTTTCATAATACTACAGTCTATTGGGGAAAACGAGTATGGTAAAACCGGTCAGTCAAGGTTTTTATTTTTTTGAGGCACTTCTCGATCATTTTGAAGTGCAATTTTTTTAGGGCTTCAATACAAGACCATATCACAGACACTGATAACACGTAGGGCCCTACATCTCATATTTAACATTGTTAAACGATCCCTTTAAAGGCCCACTGCACTACTTGTAGCTACTTGCGCCCTCTCTATATTAAACAATGCCTAACCGGTGACCACTGGTCCCCCATGATCCTCTTTTTCTTATGTTAACTGAATGCTGATTTGATGAGATAACCACCTGTCCAGTGACCTTGCAGGGTAGTCTAATCCCTCCTGTAAACTAGTACTGATAAGCTGTAAAGCACCTTTCTTCATACTTTGTAAGTTTAGTTCAGTTCTTGATGAGCTTTTGATGAACGTAATGACCGTAATAGACAACGAACCATATGGAAGAATAAAGTCTACAAAATATATAAAGCCTACAAATATGTACACTAGCTCCTACAGCTAAGCACTGTCAGTACCTGCAACTTCATGCACAAAAAATATCTATATCTGATTTTATTAAGCTACATGTACTGATAAAAAAATTAAAGGTATATTGAGGCATTCACACACAAGGCTTATACCTCATTAAGCAGTACACTTGAATATGGAAGGGAAATTAGCATGAATGTATGTGGTGTTATGGTTTAATAGTACGAAAAATACTTAATATCCCTACTGCTCATCACAGTTGCAATAAAGAACTGGAAATAAGCTTTAAATATATATAGACTGACCTGTCTGGTCCAGGGTTGGTTTCAACATCACCAGATCTCATCAGGAGAATCATGAGCAGATAGAGAAGGAAGAATCCACCCATGGTATAAGATGTCCTTCTCATTCGACAGAAACTCAGTCCGCTGGAAAGGTTCATGAATGATAACCCCAGCAAGACATCCTGTAATTGACAAAAAAGGGGATTGATGCAGTTAATTATACAAATTGAAGTGAATTAAATTGAATTGAATTTATTTATTCACCACCATTGAAAACATTGAAACAAAAGATCATTAATATAAACATGACATGAGTTAAAATACATGTTCTACAGCGATATAATATAAAATTAAAAGATAGTTATAAGTAAATTTAGTGTCAAGAGTAAAACAATAAATGACTATTTACAATGAGTAAATTACTCATATTAGTGAATAGTGACATACATGTACGTGCATGTACAATGTACATCACTGTTTACACTTTTTCGCCCCTTATCCAAATATTTGCCTCCTGACTTGACTCTTTTGCGATTTAATACTGAATTTTCTTCAAAGATAAAAGGGGATGACATGTGAAGATCTAACTTATATCCAGGAAGGGAAGGGGGGCGGGATGGGTGTCTCCATTTGTGCTGCAGAGAGACAAAATACACATTTAAAGGATTTATGAAATAAAGCTACCGGAAATCAATCATATTGAGATTATCTTTATTGTGTATATGGTAGGGTGTAAATACAAAGGAATTCTTGGGGAGCATCCCCCTCCCCCTCCCCCCACCCCCTCCGTGATGTAGTGCAATGTTTTTTTTTCATTGTTGAAATATGTAAATTTTTACAATTCATAGCATCTGATATCACTACGGTCTCTATGTTAACTCCCATTATACACTATTAGTATTTCTTTGTATTTACACCCTACTCTTACAGTAAGCAGAAAAATCAAGGAGAATAGTGAAAGTTGAAACAAAAAGGAAAGTGTGGGAGCTTTTGCATTTTTTATTTTTTGAACTTCAAATTGTGCAATCTGATGCATTTATTTACATATAATAATGGTGCATTTTGGTGCTTGTTGTGCCATACCTCAGTGGAAATTATAGATTCTGAGTTACAATGTAACATGTCATGTTTACGGTTCAAACATAATCAAATAATATTTACACAAACATGACACAAATCTGACACTAATATGCCATACTATAATAGTGCCAATAGAGTACGGTGTGCCCTTGACTTGCAGGGGTGGGCCTGGCCTGACATATCCGAATGCTGCTGAAATTACTTCCGTAGTGCAGTGGCAAGCGACTTGAGTGCCGTTTTGCCAATATGCTAGGCGTGGCAGCCGTGGGGTGCATGGTACTGCAAACGCTCACAAAATGACCCCTGGGTGACCGTATACTTACGGTAGAGTTACGAGGTTTATATATGTATCATATAGAAGACAATACTTCAATTTGATGGAAGTGCTTATAAATAGATATAAAATAAATCAAAATCTCTATAATCTTAAAGGGATTGGGTAACTTTGTCTCAGATTCTGAAACGAAATCCTGGATTTAGCTCATGCTGCATTGATAATCATAAACCTTTAGGTCAGTCAGTAACACCATGACTTTTACAAGCCGATCGCCTGTCTGATTATCAAGATATTTATGAGTGGAAATCGAAATTTAATTTGGCGTTTTCCTAACGGTTTTCATAACACTACAGTCCATTGGGGAAAATGAGTCGGTATGGTAAACCTGGTCACTCAAAGATATTTACTTTTTAGAGGCACTTCGTGATCATTTTGATGCGCAATTTTTTTAACACAATGTACATGTATCTCAGATTTAACATTGTTAAACGATGCCTTTAATATTAAAGCAAGTTCGTAATTAGCCACTGGAGTCGTATGACGTCAACGTGTCATAGCTAGGTCACATCAGCATAATATCTCCAAACGCCCACAAACTTGTGTGTATATCGTCTATACTATGGGATGTTGGGAAGAAGGAAACAAATGCGTGTGATGCAATAAACCTATGAAGTGCTACTGCGCGGATCGGATCGGAGCGAATGGTGGTTTCCTTTTTTTTCCTATTTTTCCTATTTCTTGCATGGCTGATGGAATTCAAGATTCTACGTCAATAGTGAGAAATTAGCTGAAAATACGAGGCAATGACTGCGACATTGGGATTGTTTTAATTGTTTATGACATAGTCTATGATGGCCGACCATAGCCAGCGCCAGTTAGCCACGCCCTATATATGTATCGTGCGGGTGCATCTCTTATAATTACCTCATGAGGAATCCCCTCAAATTTTATGGCATACCGTATTTGCCAGCTTAAAGGCCGCATTTTTTCGGAAGAGAAAATATCAAAAAGTTTAGGTGCGGCCCATGCGCAACAACAATCAAAATCGGCAATCAAAACAGCACGTATTTGTACATATATGGGACCAACCTAAGTACTGTAACAAATCAGTGTTTTAGTATTGGACGAAGGTTAAGCATTTTTGTTGTACGAGCATGCGCTATAGCAATATGGTGCATCGTTGATTTAGCAATTACCAAACTGAAGGAAAATGAGCATAAATTACATATTTTGATCATGTTGGTGCAATTATCATGTTTCTTTTGGGGATATTACTTGTATAGTAGTGATCTAATCAGGAATAAGGGGTTATACTGAAGATTATATGTGAAGATTTTATGGGATTAGCAGAAATATTGTGTTGAAGTGTTGTTTTACTAACGAGGACATAATTGTTCTTTTACACGTTTATGTATAGGGAAATTGTTACGATGGTCAGGGTTGTGCATCTAGGGCTTTCCACTGCACTGTATCCGATACAGGCCAGCCTCACCGAGGCTGGCCTGATAGTTGGCCTGATAGTTGGCCTGATAGCTGGCCTGATAGTTGGCCTGATAGTTGGCCTGATAGTTGGCCTGATAGTTGGCCTGATAGTTGGCCTGATAGTTGGCCTGGCCTAAGCCTCTAAGCTAAGTCTCACATAGTTTGCACTGTACTTGTACTGAGTTTACCCGATTGTTGAATGAATCGCAATAAAGACTTTCAACCTACACATCATGATTGGTTTGATTTCTTGGAGCAGTGAAACCAAGGGACGAGAACCTGTGACAAGTGTTGACAAGGGAAATTGATTGTTCGAAGGATGCTCAATTGATTGATGCTGTGAACGAGACGTTTAGGTGACCGATTGTAGTCGATGGACGAATGATTGTTGAGATACGTGTGAGCAGTTAGTAACTCCAGCCATTAAGCTACGGGCATATATTTTGTCCAAACGGACGGAGAGCGCCTGGCCAGATACGGGGCATCCTGACAAATATTCCGTGTCAAGCCAAGGTGGCGAAATCGTGTCCGCCACACATGGTGTCAGAAGTGGGATAGCTGATGGTGTGGAGTGGTCGAGCTGACGGAGCTGGATGACGACGGCAGTAGCACTGACGGAGTTGGGGACCACGGGCAGTAAGTCTGACGGCGTCACAAGCTGGTAGAGCTGACGGAGCTGGGGGACGACAGGCAGTAAGACTGACGGCGTCACAGCTGGTTGAGCTGGGGGACGACGGGCAGTAGGTCTGACGATGTCACAAGCTGGAAGAGCTGACGGAGCTGGGGGACGACGGGCAGAAGGCCTGACGGCGTCACAAGCTGGTAGAGCTGACGGAGCTGGGGGACGACGAAGGGCAGTAGGTCGGACGGCGTCACAGCTGGTCGAGCTGATAAAGCTTGGGGGCGACGTGCAGTGAGACTGCCGCGTCACAGCTGGTCGAGCTGAAGGAGCTTGGGGACAACGGGCAGTAAGACTGACTGCGTCACAGCTGGTCGAGCTGACGGAGCTTGGGGACGACGGGAGGTAGCATTGACGGTGTTGCAACTGGTCGAGCTGACGGAAGTGCGGAACGACAATGGAGAGAAAGAACGATGAGCCCAGGGATGCTGAGAAGGAAAGGAAACGAACTAACTTTTGAACAGTTGAACACTTTTGGAAAGAGCCATTTTGAACTGTTAGAAAAGACTTGGATTTTAGTTTTGATTTGTTTTGTTGTTGTTGCATAAGTTATAGATAAGTTAGCTTGGGGACCAAGCTTGGGAGGGAAGGGAATCGTGTAACAAATCAGTGTTTTAGTATTGGACGAAGGTTAAGCATTTTTGTTGTACGAGCATGCGCTATAGCAATATGGTGCATCGTTGATTTAGCAATTACCAAACTGAAGGAAAATGAGCATAAATTACATATTTTGATCATGTTGGTGCAATTATCATGTTTCTTTTGGGGATATTACTTGTATAGTAGTGATCTAATCAGGAATAAGGGGTTATACTGAAGATTATATGTGAAGATTTTATGGGATTAGCAGAAATATTGTGTTGAAGTGTTGTTTTACTAACGAGGACATAATTGTTCTTTTACACGTTTATGTATAGGGAAATTGTTACGATGGTCAGGGTTGTGCATCTAGGGCTTTCCACTGCACTGTATCCGATACAGGCCAGCCTCACCGAGGCTGGCCTGATAGTTGGCCTGATAGTTGGCCTGATAGCTGGCCTGATAGTTGGCCTGATAGTTGGCCTGATAGTTGGCCTGATAGTTGGCCTGATAGTTGGCCTGATAGTTGGCCTGGCCTAAGCCTCTAAGCTAAGTCTCACATAGTTTGCACTGTACTTGTACTGAGTTTACCCGATTGTTGAATGAATCGCAATAAAGACTTTCAACCTACACATCATGATTGGTTTGATTTCTTGGAGCAGTGAAACCAAGGGACGAGAACCTGTGACAAGTGTTGACAAGGGAAATTGATTGTTCGAAGGATGCTCAATTGATTGATGCTGTGAACGAGACGTTTAGGTGACCGATTGTAGTCGATGGACGAATGATTGTTGAGATACGTGTGAGCAGTTAGTAACTCCAGCCATTAAGCTACGGGCATATATTTTGTCCAAACGGACGGAGAGCGCCTGGCCAGATACGGGGCATCCTGACAAATACTACGTGTCGAGCTAAAGGTGGCGAAATCGTGTCCGTCACAGTACAATGACTATACCAGTTAATGTATAATGGTACAGGACATTTCTAGAATAACTCCATACATGTCTTACCAACAATTTTGGTTATATTGTTGACATGAAGTTTTGTCAATCTCGTGAATAAACTTCATAACTTACCAACCAAAAACTACCGGTAGATCTAGATCTAAGTTCGTGCCACTGCTAAAGCAACCTCAATCCTCGCAGCCCGCACCAATCGTGCCAAGCTATTGCGCAATACACCATCGACTGGGGGCTGGAGAGAAAGCTGAAATAAGACGCCATCTGGCTTGCTGCCTATGGTGTCGGCAAAAAAGCAAAACAAAAAGTTTTTACAAATATTTCGAAAAAAATTATTATCATTTTTGTGTGTCTACAAAATGTTAAAATAGGGGGTGCGGCCTTAAGGCAGGAAAATACGGTATGCCAATATGCAGTTGTAGGCTAGCGTAGAAATGAATGGAATAGCTGAATGAGAACAAAGACATTTTTGTTAATCGAGTATCTGCATGTTGTGGTCATTGGTCACAATCTTAATCAATTTCTTCACATCTGCATGACTGCCAGTTTTTATGTGCAATTTTTTTCTATAGTTATTATATTCTTCATGCTTTAAAGTTAATAGGGATTATGTGGTGCAACGGTGCCCTGCTTCTCCAGCCAAAAGGGACTTTTAGATTTGCATGTTGACATATAGTGGACTGCTACTTGTGACGTCCTTTTAAGGCACTGTGAAGTTCTTTTTTACCGCCAGTGCCTTAAAAGGACGTCACACGTAGCAGTCCACAATGTCAACGTGCAAATCTAAAAGTCCCTAATGACAAATTGTTTCCCTCCTTTCTGTGGTTATTCTCTATTACTCATGTGGAGTACCCCGTATATTGAACTCTCTGGCTTTGCATGAGTGCATTTCTTTTGTGTACGTGCTGGCATCAGTGAATGCTTTTTATGTACTAAGTTCACCATGATTTATTTATTTTTGTTAAATTTTTGTTATCACTGTTTCACAGGCTGTTTATGATAAAAAAAATCAATGCCGTCCATTTTTTCTTCAATTATCTCAAACCCTTTCAATTATATAAGGTATGATATTGAAGTAGACCTAAACCGATTTGTTGCAAAGCAAGTTGACTTGACACATAAAAATTAATAGCTTGGACTTGTTCTCAGTACTCGCTCGCGCTGAGATCAATGGAGACGAGGGTTAAATTATACCCCATTCACAGTGGTTTTGAAATTTGTAGCGGCGTTGTAGCGGAGCGGCGACACCGCCATAACACCGCTACAAATGCATTCACAGTAGAAAAGTTATCCCGCTGCAGCAGCGGGATAAATATCATGTACCCATTCACGCTGCAGCGGGTGATTTTTATTACCTCCGTAACAAACACGTGTATGCATGGCTCATGACCCGCGAGTGACCCCGATATGACCGGAAATACTTCAGCGCGGGGTTTTCGATTGCTTGAAATTGCGCGCGCTAGCTGTACTTTACACACTCTTCCTCATGTAGCTAGCTCGATTTAGCTATGGATCTATATATACTTTTACTTTTTTTAAAACTAGCATTTTTATTGCTTCCAGTCAGAATATTTTAATTTTTTGAAGTGTGAAATATTTTTATTTAGATAATTATAATATCTACATAATAATAAAATCAATTTGAATCCACTGGTTACTTTATTTCTATTTCACTTTATGTTCCCCATTGCTGGAGAAAAGAGGTCAGTGATAGGTAAGTAAACAAATCACACGTGTTTGTCGCGGTGTTATAGCGGAGAGCCTTCACACTGAGTAAACACCGCGACAGCAGCGGGACTGTCCCGCTGCTGTAGCTAGGCGTGCCTAGCGATAGTTTGTGTCGGCGTTATCGCTAGGCGGTGTTATCCCGCGATAGTTTATAACGGGTCCGAGCCTTCACACTGAAGACAACACCGCGACAGCAGCGGGACAGTCCCGCTGCTGTCGCGGTGTTTGAGGCCACTGTGAATGGGGTATAAGACTAGTATATAGTACTTAGTAGAAACCTAAACATTAGCTCAGTGCATTTACACTGTAATTAATAGCTTGGGCTTGTTCTCAGTACTCGCTCTCGCGGAGATCAATGGAGAAGAGGGTTGAATAAGACTAGTATAAATTATAGTACTTAGTAGAAACCTAAACATTAGCTCAGTGCATTTACACTGTCACCAAAAATCATCAATTTTTCTCACATTCCGGTATTTCGACACAAAAAAAAAAATCCAAAAAAAAATCCAAAAAAAAATCCTACTCCAGAGAATTTTTATTTAAAACGCCTGCTGGATGTTAACTGATATTTTGCAGTGTTAAAGGCACACTTCGGTAAGCTAAACAAGATAACGCCTTCTACTCATGTGACCTCCTCACTTCAGTGCTTTTAATGATACACATGCGCTAAGCAGGGCACTGATGAAGCGAACATCGGTTACCGAAATTTCTTCCTTATAATTCCTTGTCATTAGACATTTTTAGAACCCTAATCTGACCTTTTTTTTTCATAGTGCATATCAACATAATTTAATCTTAACTTTTTCTGAAGTTTCATGTTAATACACCCTTTCTCCACAGAATTAGGGGATTGTAAGTTTGGGGGTGTTTTCTCACACTTCGCATTCAAGACCTAGATTTCATGCATACAAGTTGTATAAATATGTGCGAATTCGACGACGCTTCAACGGTTTTTGTATGTTTGTTTCTTTCCAGTAGTGTAAATCATAGACAAAAAAAAATCACTTATGGGATGCATCTCCCAGTCTCAATAAAATCATGTAGAACCTTAAATTCAATACAAAGAAAGCATTTCTTTCAGAGTACATTGTTTGATCTTTTCCCAGTGCTGAATTAATATTCATTATTATTTTCAATTTCCTATAAAATATCCATCACTATATTTTATAACTCCTGTATACTTATACTTTTTTTGTGTGTCACAGTGTCAGACTAATTTACATCAGCGTATTTTCATTTTTATCGTTATCATCAACATCATCCCCATCACCAGTTTTTGTTTTAATTTTTGATCATCACCCCCCCCCCCCCCCGGGTTACCTTCCCCCGGGCTATCACGCTATCACGCTATCAAGCAATCGCCTAATGTAATAGCCCTTCTTCTTTTGCAACTTTCTAAATAAAAAGTTCTTGGTATTGTGTCATCAGTTAAATTTTGTTTTCATGTCATCAATTATTTTTACTACCGGTATACAGTGCGGCAAAGAAAAAACGAAACCAAGAATTATCGATGTTTTATCATAACTTAATCACGATTATAATTAACAAATGACACATATTTGTAAAGCTTAGATCCTCCTCTTTCATTTGATGCAACTCATAAGATGCATATTTCACGCCTCACGCTTTGAAGAAACGGTACCAAAGAGTCATTTGGCGGACGGTATCTGAATTTCAAAGAGAAAATCACATTTCTAGAAAGTTCATTTTTTGCCTTTTGATATGACACCTCAATCAGGAAAAATGAGGTAGGATAAGTAAGAATAACCCATAGAGATATATACTTAATAAGGCTAGAGTGCGGACTCGTCATACGCGCCCGTTCAAAGCTCTGTGCGCGCGTGGAGCGCGGTCCGCCATTACTAAGGAGGGCACAACTTTGAGAAATACCCGGATGTTCCCTTCGAAACTGTGCTACTGATATGCAATGTGAAGCTTCATTTTTCGGGTTGATTTATCGGTTTTCGAGTATGAAACGTTATAATTGTGGTATTTTGCATAATGCATGAACCCTACTCATGCCTCAGTCATGGTATCTGGTGTAGGTCAAGATTAATTACGGGTGTTATGGTGAGGTAAAAGGGACACAAAAAGCTATTTATATTTCAGTATATCTTCAATTTTTCTTCCTCTTTGTCAATATAAAACTGTGATATTATGACATGAAATATTACCTTGCTTTCAACCAATCAGAATCAAGCATTTGGGACTTGTATTTGATATTTATGTCATGATATTAACCAGTTTTATGCTACAGGGCCAATGCCGGGGGTCAATGTCTTTCTAATTCAGTTATTATGAGAGCCAGGGTTTATTGATTTAAAACGCTTTATATAAATTAATATAAACGCTTCTAATATATTCATTTTATGTTTATGGCTATTATAAACAGATTGATACTTATAGATTTGGGATAGAGATGGGTATGTAGATAGCTAGACACATAAATAGATGGATAGATAGATATAATATAGAAGGATAGGTAGATAATGGAAATGCAGATATAGGACGATACTGAAGATAGGAAGAGGGGGAAGGAAAGAATTATACACATTTATTTTTAAAAAATTGTTATTTACTCATCCAATCATTCATCCATCCATCCAAACAAACTTTCTTTTTCTTCTTCTCTCACTCATTTATATCAAATTCACACATTATGTCTTTCACCTAATCTCTATAAAATCTCTATATGTCTGAAAGAATAATTCAATTTTTTACAGTTCACTATAAATATATATGAATATTCTTTAAAAACAGCTGATCATTGATGTAATAATTATTTATTCACATCACTTTTTTTTCCATAAATAATATTCTCCTTGATACAGTGTATTTCTTATTTTCTTCATCAACCAGTTTTAGAGAATAAACTTATAATTCAATTTGAAGGAAAAAAATGAATAAATGAACCTTTTATTACCACACGGCACATGTGTGTTGATATTCTACAGCATAGGCATTTAAGTTTTGACATTTTATTGGACATATATACTGCAATAATACAACACAATTGAAAGGACAGACATTGCAAAAACAACACCTCAGATTTTAGCCCCAAATTTACTGTCACGGATCATAGGCAACACAACCACGACAAATTGATTCGCCACCAAAGACAAGCATTACACATCCCTAAACCACCACAATAACTCCCAAAACATAAATGTCAGGAGGCCAATGTCTATGTGTCAAGATGTCAGCGATAACAAACACTTTATTAACTAGTCTTGGCTCCAAGCGCACGTAGGCGCGTCACATTTACTAATAATACAAAGACATTTCATCGAGTAATAAATGCAAACCAGAAAAAGTAATTGAGCATATGTATTCCAAGTCACCTGTATAGCTATGAAGAACTCTAATTGATGAGACTTACATCTCAGGATACTGCACTACACTATTCAGTAAAACCTCATAGTAACATGGTCTTTTGACATCATTATTCATCAGGTATAGTAATAAATTTGAAACTGATTACCCTCAAATGTACACAGTAGATACAACAAGCCAAAGAGTGCACAATCTTATGGGTTTACATCTAGTGACATTATTCCATATAATTGTTCTGTTATCAAATCTCTTCAAATGCAGTTTTCCATTTTGGAACAAAATTCAAACCTATGTACAAAACGATCTACGGGTGTGTATATGGTGTGCAACTGTGCATTACACAAGCTTTTCAATTGCCACACATCTGTGAATTCTTCTCGTTTATTGAAAATGGGCTCACTTGATGTGAATTTCTTGCTTTTCATCTTTAATGATGTAAATCACTTGGTTGAGAACAATCCAGACAATGTTATAAAAAAGGTCTACATGTTTATCTCAGGTTATCCATAC